TACCGGGCGCGGTCTAATTGTGTCCCCTGACACACTTTGTATCCTCTGAAAATCAAATTTTGTCTCCTGAATTAAAAAGTGTGTCCCCTAAAATCAGATGTATTCTAGGCCCTGATATTGGGCATTTTTTTTATGAAGACAATACAACTAAAAATGGTAATTATTAATTTCGTATTATCTGTATTATTGTAAATGCGAAAAATAAGAAATAAAAATAAATTAGATAAAGTTATAATAGTTCTAGAAATGTATATTTATTCCACATTCATTTTACACTGATTTGCTGTCATAATTAGGATTAATAAAATTCAATCGCGATACAGCTTAAACGAATTTAACATACATTATTAAGTCAAATAATAAATAGAAAACTACGTATTAATGACATAAAAAGACATTAAAGGCATATTTAAAGACATTAAGTTATGAACAATTGAAGTCATTAAAGGTTGCCAAAATTTACAGTAAGAATTATTTGTGAATATTATAGAAAATTTCAAAGTACTTGTATATTGGTCGTTCCTGATAATACAAACATAAAATTTAAACAAAGTATACAATTAAACATTCTAAGTCTAAAGTTTCGAATGAAACAAGGAGGAAAACGATTAATTTTTAAAATATAGAATAACGTTCAAAACTATGGGTATTACAATATTAAAAAAGAAAGTTAAGTTAATAAAGTTGGGTTTCATGAATTTTGATTAAAAATTATAAACCAAAGTTTATTATGATATGAATATCAATTAATATTTCGAAATATACAATTAACTATAGAAGAAAAAAAATGTAACTAGTGACAACGTATTTCGCTTATACTTTTATAATATACAGACAGTTAAATCAGTAAATGATAAGAAACTTAATACGAAATGAACACAGTTAGATGAGGATTCTGTCTAATTAAAAGTATTGAAGTATGAATTGCAGTTGCTCCAATGTTATTTTAAAGACTGAAGTATTATTAAATTAATCTATAGACCTTAACTACCAATATTCTATAGTATCTGAAATATCCACATTTTAGACGATAGTCTATTTCACCTGTCGTCCACTTACAACATTGTAATTATTCCTGTATTATCTTCTATTGTTTACCATCAAAAGTTCTACCTAATGAGTTATAAGTAATACGAATAACTTTGTACAAGTTGTAGTGTACATGTGAGATTAAAATATACCGCCTCAAAAAGTTAAGGGTCCCGTCACTCATTATAAGTATTGCGGATTAGTAGGTACGGTTTTGCTGGATACTCGTATCTGTGTATTTCAGAAATTGCAGGCCAAAACAAATGTACTGCCAAATTGAAATAAGATATTGAATATACGTTTGACACAAATGCAATCGAGTCTCTCCATACTATATATATATATATAATAGACATTGTGTATAGTGTATTTTATTGTAGTCTACTTCATATAACAATACGGTTAGAGCGTTAAAAATAAAATTTAAAAAAATAATAGGTTGGTATAGGTACATGAAGCGACAGTTATAAATTACAACGTGATACGATTTTATTAGATATCGAATTGTTGATATCATTGTCTGTATAATAATTTGTGATAAATCATGAATAATTATGAACTATTATTTATAAGTTTATTTTATATTTCCATTATACTTTTTTTTCTATTTAAAAAAAAAAGGATTTACAGAGTTATTAATTTTGAACATTTAAAATTAAATTTGGACCCTTATTCTTGACGAAATTTAAGTAACCTATAAACCATTAGAAAATAAAACTTTTAAAATTAAAATGGAAACCTTAAATTGTTTACCATTGTCCATTAATAATTGACATAGTATTTATTTATAATGAGTTGAAGTGGTTCATTTACCTGTATTGAAGTAGCTATTTTAATTGGGTTTTTTGTTAATACGTCAATGTGAATAACACACACACACACACAAAACACACGTACATGCATTTGTGCACAATCGTAATAACGTGTGATCGAGAAGTCGCGCACATCAAAATGAATGTGTTTGTTAATAGTATTTTTATTGAATTACTTTTACTTTTATTTATAAACACAAATACAAAAATATTCCAAATTAATTTATAAATATTAATTTAACATGTTTTATAACATATACTCAAAATGGCTGCCTTGTTCATTAATGCATGCACGAACCCGTTTTACCACGTTTGTGGCCACTTTGTGCAATACTCTCACATTGATTAAGTTTATCTCCGTTGTTATGTTACTCTTCAATTCATCCAATGTTTGTGGTCTATTTTTATAAACCCTTCCTTTAAGATAACCCCATAGGAAGAAATCTGGAGGTGTTAAGTCGGGAGAACGGGGAGGCTATAATCCTTTGGATATGATGCGCTCGCCAAAAAACTCGCGTAAAAAATTCATTGTTCTATTGGATGTATGACATGTGGCATTATCTTGTTGCAACCAACAATCTCCTTCATCGATTTCAAGCAACGAAATAAATTGTGTTATAATGTCTTGGTATACAACACTGTTCACTGTTGTTTCAAAGAAAATAGGGCCCACTATTTGACGACGTGATATGGCACACCAAACTCCAATTTTCTGACTGTGCAAAGGGGTTTCGTGAAGGGCATGCGGATTTTCGGTGGACCAAATTCTAGAATTTTGACTATTCACATATCCACTCAGATGAAACCATGCCTCGTCACTGAAAAAAACACGGTCAAGTTCTCCAATTCCATTGCTATCGATAAATGAACGAAACCATCTACAGTACAAAAGGCGCTTTTCTTTATCAGGTTCTTTTAATTCATGAACACTACGAACATGATATGCATGAAATTTTAATTTCTTCATCGCTTTTTGAGCACTACCATATGAAATTTGTGAGTGTGCTGATAGTCTTCTCAAGCTTTTTGATGGTGAACGCAGCATCACATTTCTTACCTCGGCTAGTTTAGCGTCAGTCAAAACGGTAGGTCTCCCGGTTCTCTTCTTGTCTGAAACTGATCCGGTTTCACGGAAACGGGCGATTAATCTCGTTATGGTTGAATTGTTAGGTACTGCTATATTCGGATATTTCACTCGAAATTCATCAACTACACAAGCATAAGAACGGCTAGCAAAATAATGTTCAACAATAAACACACGTTGGTCTTGGGAAAACGACATGTTCACAGAGAAATAATCAAAGCACTACTAAAAGCGTCGTATCAAAAATACATATAATAATGACGTCTAGATTAAATGTCGAGAATACCCATAGTGTTATTTTGAAATAACCGATAAAATTTATTTATCACAACTACTATTTAGAAACATTTCTATTTTGGTGTGCGCGACTTTCCGATCACACGTTATTATGTAGGGACAAGTAATCTATCAATAAATTTATTCCTTCTCAATACTAGAACAAAATATTTTTATTAAACACGGATGATTGATATTTAAAATACAAACATATAGTTTTAATGAGCATACAAATTGGCTTGAAATAAAAGTTTTAGAAATTAATCAAAACTCTTATTATAAGTTTTAATTAATTTAAATATTCAGAATAAAAATATGAATTGTGGAAGAGTTCAAAGAGACAACTATACTTGATAAAAATAAATTGGGAAAATGGATTTTTTCCAAAGAACATTTTCAATAAAAACATAAATAAAACATTTTTAATGAAAATTATACGATTGATTATAAATATAGGTATATTATGTGTAAGTTTAAAATTAATTGTTGTAGCAAACCTAATCATAATCATAATTAACCACAATCATACATTAATATAATATGACTATTTTTTTCTTAATTTTTTTTTAAAATATTTCATGTATAAATACTAATGTATTAATAAAAATTTCAGAAAAATAATATTATTATTAATATTTGTATATAAAATAAGTAATTTTGTGTATTAAAGTTTTAAATATGAAAATAAATTGCTTTATTAAAATTCCCTTAAAAATATTGAAAATCTAGACAATTTTATATTCCAAGGAAAGAATTTTATACTTGTACAATCACAAGTATTTTTAACTTCTGTAAAATAAAACTGCAACATAAGTCACGTGTAATATTATACATCACATCGGAAATTAGATCACGAAGAAAGTTTGTGATAACATTTTATGCTAGACCTTTCAAACTGCCATAGGGAATTCGCAAATAATTTCAATATATTTATTAAATTTTCAGAATTTGCGTACTAGTTTCATTTCCAATATATATTCTATACATATTTTAACAGCTCATTTCAATCACTATCAAGTATTGATAGAAAATGTAATATAAATACTCGTAATTTGATAATGTTTGCTATATCATTTTTTTTTAATCTTGATATTTTTCATTTTAATATCAATAAATGAAATAATAATAATTATTCCATTTTAAAGATTTTTCTTTTTTTGAATATGTAAACTATAATAACTTTATATTTGAAAATACTTTGTCAGCTATTAGCTGTATATATATATTTATATATATACATGCATATTTATTAATTAAACAAAGAAGGTCAATGTTTAATAGATCCACTGAAAATAATAAGGGTTTGTTGCTGCTTTATAATAACAAAAGTTTTTGAAGTAAAAAAATAAAGGTCAATTGAATCGTAATTATTATTGTAAGCACTTTTAAAATTGTTTTCGCTTCCGTTGTTCACGAGCAAGAATGAACATTGGAATTGTACTGGCAAAAAAGCCAAAACACGCAACTGTTTTAAGATTATCTGGTAAATGGTTTCAGAACACGAGTAAACAAAATCCGCTTAAAAACAACAAGCTGCATGACCGGAAAAAAAACAAAGCTGGAACACGTAGAACCGGAAGTAATTGCTGCTACGGATTTTGAACTTGTCAATTGTCGGACGGAAATTCGTTTCGAAAACTTACCAACTGCTTATCGCATTTAAAATTCTTCCTAGGTCATCCCATATATTTTTTAAGATTATATGGTACACATGAGTGGGGTGTGTGTTTGTGTGTGTGTGTGTGTGTGTGTGTGTGTGTGTGAGACGTGCAACGTGCAAATAGTGAATAGCGGCTAACCTGACGTACCGAGACCGTTGTTGCTGTGTATGAATTGGCCCTAGTCCGGAAAAACATGAATTGCCACCGTCTTTTGATTTGGGCTACCACCTGTAAATAATAAGTATAAAACCATATGTATAACTTTAACCAGGTTGCTATTAAAAAACAATTTGCCATTATTTCCCCTTAATTTCGGAAATTAATACTTATACTAAAAAATTGATACAAATAATAATAGTTAGGTAGTAATAAAAGAAGACGGAACCTAACAAATGTTGTGTTAAAATCTTTCATGTTTATTCATTTACATTAATTTGGTATTATCTATATTATATTTTTTTAGACAGAAATAGAATTCGTACTTTTATGCCGATTCTTTAACGTTCATTGGGGAATAAAAAAATAGCCCTAGTTTAAAAAGCGTATGCATAAGACATAAATAAAACTTATAGTTTTCTTTTCTAAAAACTTATTGCTTCACTATCCCAATCCAATTTATTTGGTTTATAAATAATATATTTGACGAAGTAAATTGCTAGTTCATCGGAAATTCATCTAATACTTTTTTACAAGTACTCAATTTACTTTCCGAGCTTCATTAACCATATGATTTCAAAATAATAACTGTTATACATACCTCTCCATTGAGAAAACAAAACAATGTCGCCACACAAAGTCCCTAGAAAAAAAAACCCCAAAAAATTTATTAAGAAAGTAAAATATTTTAATAATATCGTAAATGAAAAATTCGTTTGTCAACAATTAAAATGTTAGCAAGACATTAAAATACAATTATTAGTTGCTTCTATTTTTATACAGAATACTGTATTGATGAATGTTTAGAGAGTGAGACATAATTAGAACTTTGTGCAAATTATGACAATCAATTACATCAGCGGTTCCCAAACATTTTTGGTTCGCGCATTCCCAAAACAAAAAAAAAAAAAAAATAATCGTGCCTTTCATGAATAAATAAAATAATATTTTTTTTATTATTTTAATAAAAGAAAATTACTGTCAGAATAAAAATAAATATATGATAATGTAATACCATATATATAGTGGTATACATTGCCTTGCGCCTCCCCCAATAAGTGCCTGCTTCTCACTATAGGGAGGCGCGCCTCACAGTTTGGGAACCACTGAATAACATAATATTATCATCGTATCGTATTATACTAATATCATATTATGAATAGTTTTGTTATATTTTTTTTTGGAAACATAAAAATACAAGGATAACTTATCGCATTCAAAAAATAAATCTTAGTTTTGAATATTTTATTTTGAAATAATATTAAAAACTGTTTTTAGAAGTACAATGTTGGTGCATTTATTTCTATGCTTTGCAAACGTAATAAAAATGTAATCATATGATTTTTTAGTTATTAATTGAAACTCACAATTTCCGTTTCTCAATTCTAGAAAGGTCTTTGTTATTAATTTGTTTGATAAAATGTTTAGCTGATCATAATATTACATACTTTTTTTCGTAAGCGTTTATACAATTTTAGTAACGACAAAATAAGTACATACATATATATTATTCGCCCATATGATATTTATAAATAGATCACTGATAAAAACCAATAATAAATATTACAAACGGCCCTGATCGGATTGGACTTCTTAAAAAAAATTAAGGAACGGGATTGGGTAGGGGCATTTTGTAAGTTTAAGTTTCGGGCCGGATCAGGCCGAAAAAAAAAACGGACAGTGCAGATTTCTAGTAGATGCTGATTCGGTCTATGTCGGTACTATGCCGAGCAACAAAATGAGTTTTTCATCCGAGTATTCGTCATGTGTAAATGAGACATTAGAGTCGAGTATAAATTATTTTACGATGAAATATTTATACAGCTTTGATGCTAATTTTGTTATTATACGAGTGGTTTTCCAAATATGACAATTAAATGTATACAATTACCTAATAAAATTAAAAAAAAAAAAAAAAAACATATCGGTGGTCAACATGAAATTATAAAAGCTTTATCATGATTTACTTTCTAAACGTCCACCAAGTACCTATTTTCTTAAGAACGTGCCATTGAATGGTAAACACTCAGTTTCAACATTTTATCAGATTTTTAATATCAAAATACAACTGTAAAAATAATAAACTAAAAATGTAACATAATAATATTCAATTAAATCTATTGATATCATGCTTATTAAAAATATAATACATAAAATTATAAACAAATAATATTAATTATACATAGATGAAAGTATTGTCTTCAGATAAAATCCCGGAATACTTGAATGGAATCAGTATATTAATTTTAGGTGTTGAAAACATTTAACTTATTTTGTTTGCAAATGTTATCAGAATAAATCAATTAAATAGGTGAAGTTAAGTCAATTTAGAACTTCCAGATGTATATATAGCTTTATAAATTTTTGTAAGCCTTTGATAACAATTTCTTGTATTTTTTAATATCTTTTTGCTTTTTATTTTTTTTATGGTTATTATGGTAAGTATTCGGAAAGATTTTAAATTATTCGTTGTGTAACGATAACAGCGGCAACGTAATAAAACTTATTTTCTATATTTTGATGTTTTCAATTCAAATTTTCATGTTTTAAAGTTTATGACGTTTTTTATAATTTAAATTAATTTTCCTGCTTAATATAATATAAGAGATATAAGTATGTTTTTTACGCCTTTCCTCCAACATAAACTAATATTCACATTGTTTTGTAGTTACTTTTCCAAGATTGTCATGTAATTGGAAGTCGAGACTGTGCCACGAGTCATTATTTTTTTATGATTGTTCTAGATGAATAATATACTATATATTTTATTGGGCAACAGTTAAAGAGTAGAAATTAATTTAATATTATGAAAGTTAATAATAGAGCAATATACATTGGAAGTTAAAGAAAACCACAAATAGCCAAGCCTGGGCAAGTTATTGATATTTTTAAACTCAGTTAAATCAAGTTGATTATTTGTTTATTTTTCTTTTAATTAAATTAATTCACATGTTAATCACATCGATCAAGTTTAAAATTAAGTTAATAAATATCGTTAACACAACTTAAATTCAATTAATAAAATTAATTAATTTAAAATACAAAATTGTTTTCATTAGGTATTGAAATAAATTACACCAACTTAATATTTACATAATAACTCGATAAAAATTAATAATAATTAAAACGTAAAAAAACTCATTTATGAATATTTTATAAATGTTCACTTTGTCTTGCATAAAGTTTGCAACATGGTTGTAGATACAGGGCCGTATCAAGATTTTTCGGGGCTAGGGGCAAATTAATTTGGAGGCCTTTTGACCATAATAATAAGATATGATAGACAAAATACTCACTGAGAATAACAAAATTCTTGCAAACGTATTTTTCTAAACCTTAACCAATCAAGCTCATTTAAATTCATGTACTGCATTACATACTTACATTATGTAGAATTGAAAATCATTCATTTTATTTATAATTTAATCTTTCAATATAATCGGACAAGTAACTACACGTTCACACGCGCGCGACATTAATCGCCGACACGTAGTGTAAAATTGCTCAATATAATCGAGGCTTTATTATTAATTACTATACATCAAGACTTTATGGGGGCCCGCTAAAAAATATTCCAATAATGGGGCCTGGGGATAAATGGTCCCATTGCTCCCCCCCTCTGAACGGCCCTGTTTCAATATATCTAAGGCTATGAGTATCAATATTGACATGGGCCACACTACAATGGCAATTGAAAAATAAAATACTGTTTCTGTGACAACAAGCCTTTAGCAGGTATTTCTTTATATGGTTTATCTAAATTTTGTTTATTTAACAAAAAAATCTTTAAATTAGCCGTTTTTTAATAAAATCACTCTTATAAATTACAACAACGGCAAAAACTATTTTTTCATTTAAAAATAAAAATAAAATTTATTAGGTATAGTATAGAGGCGTATACTGGCCTACCGGGATACCTCATAAAAATTATAAGATCTGGGCCTTCTACCAAATAGATACTTGTAGTTTCAGTTGAATTCAGTAAATTTATTATTTTTAACAATTTTAATTGAATAAATGAAAAGAAAAAATTACATAAAGGACAAATAACAAATTTCGTAGTACGTGTTTGAAAACCAACAGAGCAATACGTGTGTTATCTTTTGTGAGTGCGCATTTTAAGCTTCGATAGCAAACACATTATGACGCCTAATCGCAACTAATAAAGGTAATATGAATACTTTAGAATAACATTACGCCAACAAATGAACACTAATAAATTAGACTCATAGCCTTCAAAAATGCTTCCCAGCAAATCTCCATCAAACCTAAAACCTACAAATAAAACAAATACTACTAATTACAAAACAACAATATTCCATCTATAACCAAATCAAATATAAAATCAGCAAAAAAAATTTAATTCCATAGGTACATCTATCTGCAATAAAACCAGTTCACATATCGCTATAACTCCATCGCCAACATCACACAATCTACCTTTACCCTCTCAACACCCGACGCCAGCCGATCTACATACAACTCATTATCTTTTATCGGTACAAAAAATAAACTGAACTATGCTCTAGTCACGGCCAACTTAAACACGCCGAAAAAAGAACAGGCAATTATTATTTACCCGGTCGATGGACTATTACTCAAAAATTATATTATTGCAATTTGAGAAATTATCTCTCCAAGCAATATTAAATTTATATCAAAAATGTTTATGGGTCGTGTATGCGTTTTCTTATTTAGAAAACTAGTATTAAATTTTCTAACAGAAAAAATCACAAAATATACTAAAAATAAACCAACACATAATTCCTATATACAGACTCCTCAATCCTAAAAGAATTATAATATCAAATGTATGCCTCTCTATCTCTTAATCAGTCTCTACTCGATGTATTTATGCACATAAAAATTTCACCACTATCTGAAATAAATTTCCTTTATACTATCAAGATTAATTTATATATTACCTTCATTAGATTGAAGTTCTCTAACCACTTTTTCCAAAGTTAGGTTAAACAATAATGGAGATAATGTATCACCTTGCTTTAGCCCAGTATCCACTGTAAAAGGTGACGAAAGTTCGTTGTCTACTCTAACCCGGTATTTTGCCTCCTCCATACCAATTTTAGTTAACTTTATTAATTTATCCGGAAAACTAGAGTGATTACTTATGTTGTATAGGCTATTTCTGTGAACACTGTCGTATGCCTTCTTGAAATCAACGAACACCTGCCACATATTTTGACGGAATTCATACTTCTTTTAAATTATCTGTCCTATGATGGCTAGTTGTTCGATTGTTGACTTGTCTTTTCGGAACCCACATTGGTTCTCTCCCAAGCATTCTTCAGCGTAAGGTTTGAGACGGGCAAGCAGTAATTTAGAAAAAAACTTACACACTGTGTTCAAGAGGACTATGTCTCTATAGTTATGGAAATCCGTTCTGTTTCCTTTCTCATATAGAGGTATGATTGTTACTTCATTTCAAATTTCTGGCATTTTCTCTTCATTCCATATCTCTTTAACATACTCAGAAAATGGCGTTGTGTAGTCTCTTCTCTCCAAACTTGATTAGCTCTGCGGCAATTCCATCTGGCCTGAGGTTTTCCAATTTTTTAATCTGAGTGTAGCTGTTTTAACTTCCTCTAGTTTTGGGTTTTCTATGTACGGTTCTGCTCATTGGTA